TTCGATGGGTGGGCAAACGGTTTTGTGTTTAAAGAAATTTGCTGTATTTTATGACAATTTTTCCATTAAAATTGAGAAAAAACTAAACTTTTTATTATCTACCTCCTTACCTATTAATCCTATTATACTTAGTGATGTGAGGTGGAAATATTTCCACTGGCGGATTTCTAACATAACCTCAAACTTTATATGTTATGCGCGCTTGATGGTGTTTATTATAGTATTTTCAGAAGTTCAAATCCTGCTACATCAATTTCATCTTTGAAACAATTGGAGCATTCAGACATACACACAAATTCCAATTTAGAAAGCACTTCTTCAACGTCTTTGAATACCGGAAGTTCATCAAAGATTCCTCCATTCTTTGAAACTATGAATGAGTTTGAAAAGGTGTGATTTTTTCCTTTGTAGAACCTGCAGTTTTACGAAAATTACAAATTATTCCTACAGAAAAAATGCCATGAAGCTTTAGCCAAAGCAATGTACATAAGTGGAACTCCATTAAGTATTGTGGAAAAACTGGTTTGCTATTTAAGACCAGTTTATCGATCTGAACAATGAAATCAATTCATTTTGTGCAAGAAAATATCAATAAATTACGGCAATTCTTTGGAATTGGAACTAATAAAAATAATTGTGTCAAATTCAAAAATAGAGCAATGTTAAAAGTTTGGGTGTCTTACTCAATTTTTACGGCACATTCTCCGAAACACAGATTGAAAATTTTCATCTACCAATGGTTTCGACCATAATTTCTTGTTGTCCCAACTTTCGAATTCTCAGTTTTTCGAAATTTTAGTTTGGGGACTTTTTAGTTTACTCCTATTTATTATTCAATTTTTGGATTTTACAATTTCTCAATTTTTCAATTTCTCGGTTTTCAGTCTTTCTATTCAATTTTACGGTTTTTAAATATTTCGAGTTTTCAATTTCTGACTTTTATAAACCCTTTATTTGTCGATTTTTCAATTAATTGATTTTTCAGGTTTTTAGGTTTTTAATTTTTCTATTTTTTCAGGTTTCGATTTTTCAAATTAACTTTTTTAATTTTTCGATTTCTCAATTTTTCGATTCTTTAGATTCTCAGTTTTAGATATTTCAGTTTTGGGATTTTTCAATATTTCTGTTCTTCGACTTTTCCATTTCTGACTTCTGCATTTTTCGATGTGTCGACTTTTTACTTTTTCGATTTTTAAATTTTAGATTTCTCAATTTTTTGGTGTTTTAATTTTTCAATATTTAAAATTTTCGATTTTTCGATTTCTCGATTTTTCATTTCAGTTCTTCGATATTTCCGTTTTTGTTTTCGAATTTTTCAAATATTTTGATTTCTTAATCTATCGATTTTTCGACTTCTCGGTTTTAGATTTTGTTTTTCAATTGAAGTTTTTTCAAATTTTCGATTTTTCAATTTTTCAAATTTGACATTTATAAACTGTCAATTTTTCGCTTTTTTCATTTTCCCGTTTCTTGACTTTCGAAGGTTTCGATGTTCCGGTTCTTCAGTTCTTTAATTTTTCGATTTTTCATTTTTTAGTTTTTTTAAGGTTTCGGTTTTTCTACTTCACTTTTTGGATTTTTCGATTGCTCAATTTTTCGACTTTTTAGGTTCTCAGTTTTTGGATGTTTCAGTTTTTGGATTTTTCAGTTTCTCTTTCATTTTTCAGTTTTTCGATATCTCAGTTTTGGGGTTTTTCAATATTTCGATTCTTCGACTTTTCGATTTTGACTTCTGGATTTTTCGATGTGTCTACCTTTTTTCGATTTTTAAATTTTAGATTTTTTAATTTTTAAAATTTTAGATTTTTCGATTTGTCGATTTTTCAGTTCAGTTCTTCGATATTTGAATTTTTCAAGTTTTCGAATTTTTCAAAGGTTTCGATTTCTTAATCTTTTGATTTTTCGACTTCCCCGTTTTGGATTTTATGTTTTTCAATTGTTATTTTGTCAAATTTTCGATTTTTTAATTTTTCAAATTTGACTTTCATAAACCCTCAATTATTCAATTAATCGATGTATTGATTTTCCCATTTCATGACCTGCGAGTGTTTCGATTTTCCTGTACTTCAATTAGATAATTTTTTGATTTTTCAATTTTTCGATTTTTTAAGGTTTCTATTTTTCGACTTCACTTTTTTGATTTTTCAATTTTTCAGTTTTTAGATATTTCAGCTTTAGGATTTTTCAATATTTCAATTCTTCGGGTTTTCTATTTTTGACTTTTCTTCTTTCGATTTGCAATTTTTGGATTTTTAAATTCTTGATTTTTCAATCTTTTGATATTGTAATTGTTCAGTATTTCTTAATCTTTCGATTTTTCGACTTCCTGGTTTTAGATATTCTGCTTTTCAATTTTTCGATTTGTTAATTTTTCATTCCCGATTTATCGAGATTTGATTGTTCAGGTTTTCGATTTATCAATTTTTCAATTTTTTATTTTGGCCTATTTAGGTTTCTCAGTTTTTCAAGTTTTCCATTTTTTCGTTTTTTGATTTTTCCGCTTTTTGTTTGTCGATTTCTCTATTTTTGGATTCCATCGCTTTTCGATTTCTCGTTCTTTTGATCTTTCAATCTCTCAATTTTTCAATTATTCGAATTGTCGATTTTGGCCTATTTCGGTTTCTCAATTGTTCGAATTTTCGATCTTTTGATTTTTCGATTTCTCGGTTTTTCGATTTTCCAGTTTTTCGGTGTTTCGATTTTTCAGTTATCCGGTTTTTTAAATTTGAGAGTTTCGATTTCTCTATTTTTCGTTATTCAGTGTTTAAATTTTAAATTTTTGAATTTTACTTTTTTTCGATTTTCTGATGTTTCATTTTTCGATTTTCATTTCTTCGATATTTCAATTTTTCAATTTTTCGGTTTTACGATTTTTTAAGGTTTCGTTTTTTCGATTATTAGATTTTTCGATTTTTCAAATTTTCGATTATTTTAATTTTTCATTTTTTTCTCTCACTGTTTTGATTCTTCGACTTTTCGATTTTTGACTCCTGGATTTTTCGATGCGCCGATTTTTTGACTGTTTCGATTTTTCAATTTTTCGATTTTTTAATTTTTAAAGTTTTAGATTTTTCGATTTCTCGATTTTTCATTTCAGTTCTGCAATATTTCAATTTTTCAAGTTTTCGAATTTTTCAAATGTTTCGATTTCTTAATCTTTTGATTTTTCGAATTCGCGGTTTTAGATTTTCTGTTTTTCACATGTCATTCTGTCAAACTTTCGATTTTTTAATTTTTCAAATTTGACTTTTATAAACTCTTAATTTTTAGATTTTTCAATTAATCGATGTTTTGATTTTCCCATTTCTTGACATTCGAGTGTTTCGATTTTTCTGTTCTTTAATTCTTTAATTTTTTGATTTTTCAGGTTTTTGATTTTTCAATTTTTTGATTTTTTAAAGTTTCTATTTTTCGACTTCACTTTTTTGATTTTTCGATTTTTCAGTTTTTAGATATTTCAGTTTTAGGATTTTTCAATATCTCAATTCTTCGGTTTTTCTATTTTTGACTTCTGGATTTTCCGATGTGTTTTACTTTTTCGATTTTTCAATTTTTTGATTTTTAAATTTTAGATTGTTCAATCTTTTGATATTTTACTTTTTCAATATTTCTTAGTCTCTCGATTTTTCGACTTCCTGGTTTTAGATGTTCTGTTTTTCAATTTTTCAATTTGTTAATTTTTCATTCCCGATTTATCGAGATTTGATTGTTCAGGTTTTCGATTTATCAGTTTTTCAATTTTTTATTTTGGCCTATTTCGGTTTCTTATTTTTTCCAGTTTTCCATTTTTTCGTTTTTTTTATTTATCCGCTTTTCCAATTTTTCAACTTTCAACTTTTTGTTTGTCGATTTCTCTATTTTTCAATTTTTCGACTTCATCACTTTTCGATTTCTCGTTCTTTTGATCATTCCATCTCTCAATTTTTCAATTTTTCGAATTTTAAGTTTTTTGATTTCTCGATTTATCGAGATTTGCATTTTCCGATATTTTGATTGTCAATTTATAAATTGTTCAATTTTTAACTTTTCGATTTTTCGATTTTGGCCTATTTCGGTTTCTCAATTCTTCGACTTTTCGACTCCAAGATTTCTTGATCTTTTGATTTTTCGATTTCTCGGTTTTTCGATTTTCCAGTTTTTCGATGTTTCGATTTTTCAGTTATCCGACTTTTTAAATTTGGGAGTTTCGATTTCTCAATTTTTCGTTATTCGATTTTTAAATTTTAGATTTTTGAATTTTACATTTTTTCGATTTTCTGATGTTTCATTTTTCGATTTTCAGTTCTTCGATATTTCGATTTCTTAAGGTTTCGATTTTTCGATTATTAGATTTCTCGATTTTTCAAATTTTCGATTATTTTAATTTTTCATTTTTTTTCTCACTGTTAATATCATACAGTGTATTGAAAACAACCACAAAAATTGTCACTAAAAACATTTAAAAATTCATACAAAATAGAACACAGTGTTTCCAAAACATTTTCCCGAAAAAAATCCATTGGGTTATTACGATTTCAACAATTTTCTTAGTTTAAGACGTTTTGCTAGTATAAAACACAAATAAAGAATTAATTCTTAGTTAAACAAAATATGTAAAATCATCTAAATATGTACCAAAAACATTCACATTTTAGTCGTTATAAAAACCGACCAAACAACTATTTCCCGCAGAAATTGTAGTCCAAACCAACCAAATCGCTTCTGAACGCTTAGAGTCGACATTGGCCTGAACGCGCTCTGGTCTGTTGATCAAACAAGTTCTCAGGCGACAAGTTGTAGTGAATCAAGTTTTTTTATTGGCATCGACTATTTAAATTTGGCGCTTGTTTTTGGCGGTTGAGGACTCCAATGTAAATAAGGTAGGTTTTGCAAAATCAGCCTGTATGTCGCATTTATATTAGTCTATATGGTTTCATGCTTTACTCATTTAACAAGTGTAGCCAATAGATACCAATTGAAGTTACTAACTAGGGATATTTTCTATTTGACAGTATCTCAATCAACCTAACCTCTAAAACGTTTTGTAATTATTTAAGCCGGAAAATGATCACGTGTACTGTAAATTTACCGTGTTTTAGCTGAAATGCGATCAATCACGCCCTAGCACCGTCTAATCTGCGCAAATTGTATTTTTCAAGTCATTTTTACCGTGAAAATGTTAGGTTAATAATCAAAGTTTCATAACCTTTTTGTAAGAGTCGTGGACGGATATTTTGGTGACCAAATTTGCATTCGCTTCCCCAGTGTAACACTAATAAAACGTTTCAGGCAACCAAAATGTCAACTTTGGAGTATTCCGAATCACTTGGAGCCTGGGGAAGATCTTCATGGATAAACATCCACAACTGCAAACGGTGTCCCTATTTTACAACATTGGTTTTCTTTATGGTGAACCACGTGCGACGACACCGTTCATCACAGGAAAAATATACGTGCGAAAACGCCAAAATCGAAGAGTATCATTGTAAAGATTGCGATTTTAAAACGGAACTAACGATTCTGTTCAAACAACACATTAATAAAAATCACAGTGTTAAAAGCGAATCTGGGGACGATTTATCACTGCAGGACTTCAGTGTGCAGACGTACGTTTGCGAAAAGTGCGATTTTGAAACAAATCTGTTGTTAAAATGGGGCGAACATGCAGAATGCACCGGAAAAAAAGAAAATCTAACAAGTGTGAGTTCGTCACAAGAAAATACTTCATGTAGTTTCAATTTCAAGCAAATTGACGGAATACGTTGGTATTACTGTGCGCTATGTCCCTACAAAGGTAAATATCAATCTGTTTTAAAATGTCATATGGCAAAACATGATTTAAACAAACAATATGAGTGTGATAAGTGTCCATTTAAAACCAAATGGAGTCTAACTTTAAGAAATCACATAAAACGAAAGCACTCAGATGAACGAGATGTTGAATGGCACAAATGTGAAAAATGTCCATTTAAAACCAAATGGAAAGGAAATCTAAGCAATCACATAATACGAAAGCACCACGATGAACGAGATGTTGAATGGCACAAATGTGAAAAATGTCCGTACAAAACCGTAATAAAAAGTGAGTTAAGTATACACCTAAAGTATTCACATTTGAAAGAAGAAGAAGGTAAATGGTATCAATGCAATGACTGTCCATACAAAACTAGACGTAAATATAGTTTACAGAGTCACGTAATTTTAAAACACATTACGTGGTACGAATGCAAACAGTGCCAATTTAAAACAAAGGACAAAAGATCTTTAATACACCACGAGAACGTGGTGCATTTAAAGCAACAAAATTCCGAATGGTGGAAGTGTAAAAAGTGTTCATTTAAAACGGTAACTTTATCAAAAGAATGTAATGAATGTCTGCTCAACAAAAATAAGCTGCACGAATGTAAATATTGCCCATTCAAAACTAAATCGAAATATTATTTAGAAAGACATGTAATGTTTCAACATTTGGGTGACAAAACTAAATGGCACCAATGTGACAAATGTCCGTTCAAAACTAAATTTATTGAAAATTTAAAGAAACACAGAAATGTTAAGCATTCAGAAGAAGCACAGTGGTATGAATGTAGCAAGTGTTCGTATAAAACGAAAGTAAAGCACAATTTAATAAAGCATGTAACCGTTCATTTTGACATCAAACCATATAAGTGCGCATATTGTCCATATAAAACGAAACGTAGTTGTTATTTAAAGATTCATATAAATCACTACCACAAAAATAAGATCTATTCAGCTGGCAAATATGTTAAATGGTACAAGTGTGAAAAATGTTCGTTCAAAACTAGAGGAAAAGGTTATTTAAGAAAGCACATAATCAACATACACACGAATGAAGAAGACATCAAATGGCATCAGTGTAATGAGTGTCCATTTAAGGCTAAACATTATTATATAATAAAACGTCATGTAATCTGTAAACATTTGAACAAAGAAAAAATCAAGTGGTACGAGTGCGAATATTGTCCGCATAAGGCGAAACTCAAGGACTATTTAACGAAACATATGAATAAATACCATTTAGAAGAAACGGACGCAAATAAATGATGAAAATCCGATGCGAACGAAAATTGTAACATTTCTTTATAAACACCAAGAAAATTTACATAAATAGGATTTAATTTATTTTAAGTTTGGTCGAGTAGTATTAAGTAGATTATATACATGTGAATACGGTTTTGTGTTTCAAGGAATTTGATATATTTTATGACAATTTTTTCATTAAAATTAAGAAAGAAACTAAATGTTTTATTTTCCACATTAAATAAATATAATGCGACGAGGTATAATTTTTTTTTTGTTTTTTATATGAGAAAATGATATTAATATAGATGTATCATACATCAAACTGGAGCTTTTTTCATATTCTAGAGCGCAGACACCAGTTCAATCAATTTAAAAAATATGGCTGAGAAATATCTTAAAAAAAGCTCCATTGTATGTTTTCTTTTCAAGTTTTTTTAGTCATAACCATCATAGAATCGCTTCAAAATTCGCACATGGATAAAACATCACTTTTTACAGGGCGCAGAGTCATTAAATGTTTGTTAGTGGTACAATTTGTTTAAATAATAATGTGTTTATCAAAATCAAAATATACCGCAAATTAATGCAAAATACGTCGAATAATTTTAACAGGAATATCAGAGGAAAATTAATGATCTATTGGTTAGCAGAGTTTTTAACAAAAACTAACAATTATTGAAAAAAATGGGTATCAATTCGACAGATTTTGAGCCATTAGTTCAGTACTTTGCCGATAGGAGCGCCACTAAAATTTACGGAAGCGACTTTCCAGGTAAAACCCTTATGGCCTGCTCTACCATAAGCTGATTGTTGGCGTTCTCGACTGATTTTTACTTCCCGAGCGTAAGCAAAGGAAGTATTGTAATCGAGTCCGTCGGCCGACTCTCCACTTTTAGGTTTTCTCGATCTTTCATGACCCCTAGAAGACGAAGACATAGGTCTCCCATTTCCGTCTGTCTGTCCGTCCGTCTGTCCGTCTGTTGTCCCGGATTTTTATTAGACAGATAATCTCCGAAAGTACTCGACCGATTGTTGTGAAATTTTGTACTTATATTAAGAATATCATGTAGATGGTAAAACGCTAACCAAAATTTGTCTAATCATCCCCACCACTAATGCGATGACGTCACTTCAAAATTGTACATAGTAAATGGGTTTTCAATTGTATAAAATAGCATAGTCCTACACATGTAGTTTACAACTCTGAATCGACTTTTCACCCGAAACGTCCAGATTTTTGGAAAAAAAATCAAAATTATAAAACAACATTTTGAAATTTAATTTTTAATCTGCTAACCAGAATGCTTTGAAATGTTGCAGATGTTTTAAGGCTATAAAGAGCATCATAAATCTTTGGTCAAAAAATATTTGCTTACCCCCTCCAAAAACTTGATGACGTCAGCTCAAAAGTTTGTGGAATAAATCATATCTAAAATGTACAAAATATGATGAGTCTGTACTTGTGATCTATCACTCCATTCATATTTTTTGGATTTGCATATACAGGGTGACTCAAAAAAATTAATGAATGCGTAAATATATTTTATTGATTTAATCAGGAACTACAAAACGGAATGCTCTGACATCTTGCACATGTTTTAAGGTTATAAAGAGCATAACAAATGTTTAGTCAAAATATATTTGCTTATCCCCTCCAAAAACTTGATGACGTCAGCTCGAAAATTTGCCGAATAAATCATATCTAAAATGTACAAAATATGATCAGTCTGTACTTGTGGTCTATCACTCCATTCATATTTTTTGGATTTGCATATACAGGGTGATTCAAGAAAATAAATGAAAGCGTAAATTTATTTTACTGATTTACTCAGGAACTACAAAACCGAATGCTTCGAAATCTTGAAGATATTTTAAAATTATCATAAGCATGGTAAATTTTTGATCAAAACGTATTTGGTCGTCCCCCCTAAAAAATTTATGATGTCACCACAAAATTTTGCTGAAAAAATCCTATCTAAAATGTACAAAATATGGTGAGTCTCTTCTTGTGATTTATCATTCCATTCAAATTTTTTCGATTTGCATATACAGGGTGACTCAAAAAAATTAATGAATGCGTAAATTTATTTTATTGATTTAATCAGGAACTACAAAACCGAATGTTTTGAAATCTTGCAGATGTTTTAAGGTTATAAAGAGCATAATAAATTTTTAGTCAAAATATATTTGGTTATCTTCTACAAAAAACTGATGACGTCAGCTCAAAAGTTTGTCGAATAAATCGTATCTAAAATGTACAAAATATGATGAGTCTGTACTTGTGATTTATCATTCCAATCATATTTTTGGATTTGCATATTCAGGGTGACTCAAAAAAATTAATGAAGGCGTGAATTTATTTTATCGAATTAATCAGGAATTAGAAAACCGAATGCTTTGAAATCTTGGGAATATTTTAAAGTTATTATAAGCATGGTAAACTTTTGTTCAAAATGTATTTGTTCATCCCTCCTAAAAAAATTGATGACGTCACCCTTAAATTTTGCTGAATAAATCCTATCTAAAATGCAAAAAATATGATGAGTTTGTACTTGTGATTTATCATTCCATTCATATTTTTTAGATTTTCTTAAGAGGTGGTTCAAAAAAATTAATGAAGTCAATTTATTTTATTGATTAAATTAAAGGCAACACTTATTATTAGTATTACACCCCAACCAACCCAATTTGGTAGGCACAAAATTTGTTAAAGGAAAAACTCGGTTGAAACATAAGGGTAGCACGCTTATTTACATCGACTTTAACAGTACAGACCTGCATTTGTTTTATGCGCTCACTTGGTTCCGCGAATGTGAAATCGACATGTTTATAATCAACCAATTGTGAATTTCACCGTCAAGAATTAAAATAAAACCCAATGTTTTATATAATAAGCGGAAGTCGAAGCAATAAAACCGATGGTCGTTTTGTTTACAGTTTCTCTGTTTGACTCTCACGTATGCTGTTACGCCTGTCATCTTAAATTAAGAATGTTTATACATACACGATTTTCAGTTGCCGTATACGCGAGTAAATTGTTTCGTTATTTTATTGATTATAAAAAATCAATATTCAAAACGACCCAATTCATTTTCCCGAAAATTTGGGAATACAATAATTTTATTCTTAGTATTACACTACATCTATCCCAACTGATATACGTGTCCTTGCAAAAATGTTGATGACGTCATCGCAATTTTTTTTAAATTCCCGCTACAAAAATGTAATGAGAAAAAAACACAATAGCCATGCAGTCGTCAAATTTCCGACAGCGAGGGAAGTACTGTCTAAACTCTTTAGACCAATTTTTTTTTATTTGTTTCTTTTTAATAACAAAATATTTCTATCTTCTTGATATATGACAAAAAATCGTATTATTTATGTGTAATACTTTTTCTATCACAAAAAACCGATCTACCGAAAAAACGCCGAAATTTACCGAAAACCATCGAAGGAATCTACCGATAGCAAGCGAAACGGCGTGGCAACGCTGTATTTGACACTACCTCAATCAACTTAACGTTTAAAATGTGAACAAATAATCATTTTTGTAATTATTTAAGACGGAAAGTGATGACATGTACTGTAAATTTACTGTGTTTTAGCTGAAACGCGCACATTCACGCCCTAGCACCGTCTAATCTACCGAAATTGTATTTTTCAAAAAATCGAAATATCATTTTTCACGTGAAAATGTTAGGTTAAATATCAAAGTTTCAAAACCTTTTGGTAACCAAATTTCCATTCCCTTCCCCAGTGTAATACTAATAAGACGTTTCAGGCAACCAAAATGTCAACGTTGGAGTATTCCGAATCACTTCGAGCCTGGGGAAGATCTTCATGGAAAAACGTCCACAACTGTAAACTGTGTCCCTATTTTACAACATCGCTTTTCTTAATGGTGAATCACGTGCGACGACACCGTTCATCTCTGGAAAAATATTCGTGCCAAAACGCCAAAATTGAAGTGTATTATTGTAAAGACTGCGATTTTAAAACGGAATTAACGATTCTGTTCAAACAACACATTAATAAGTATCACGACATTAAAAGCGAACCTGGGGACGATTTATCAATTGAGAACTTAAGTGTACAAAACTACGTTTGCGAAAAGTGCGGCTTCGAAACAAATCTGTTGTTGAAGTGGGGTGAACATACTTCAGAATGCACAGGAAAAAAAGAAAATACTGCATGTAGTTTCAATTTCAAACAAATTGACGGAATACGTTGGTATTACTGTGCGCTCTGTTCGTACAAATCTAGAGATACAGGTAATTTAAAACGTCATTTGAGAAAACATGCTTTAAACAAACAATTTGAGTGTGATAAGTGTCCATTTAAAACCAAATGGAAAGGAAATCTAAGCAATCACATAAAACGAAACCATTTAGACGAACGAGATGTTGAATGGCACAAATGTGAAAAATGTCCTTACAAAACTATAATAAAATGCCATTTAATTAGGCACCTAACCAACTCACACTTGAATGAAGAAGAAGGTGAATGGGTTCAATGCAGTGAGTGTCCATATAAAACTAGGGCAAAATCTAGTTTAAAGAGTCACGCAAATTTCAAACATCTAGATGAAGAAAAAGTTACGTGGTATAAATGCGAACAGTGCCAATTTAAAACTAAGGACAAAAAATCTTTAAGACGCCACGTGAGTCTAATCCATTTAAAGAAACAAAATGCCGAATGGTGTATGGGTAAAAAGTGTACATATAAAACCGCAAATTCGTTTAAGAAAGACGTTAAATCAAAAGAATGCGACAAAAATAAGCGGTTTGAATGTAAATATTGCCCATACAAAACTAAATGGGGGTGGAATTTAAAAAGGCATGTAATTTCTGTACATTTGAATGAAGAAAAAATCAAGTGGTACGAGTGCGAATATTGTCCACATAAAACGAAACTCAAGAGCTATTTAACGTCTCATATGAATAGATGCCGTTTTGGAAAAACGAAAGTTGAATGATACAAATGCGATCAGTGTCTTAACAAAGAAAACTACATAAGGAGAATTATTTTTATTTTAAGTTTTTGGTAGTAGCCTTTAAATATTATTTTGTATTATCATATTTTGTATCTTGTGACTACTTTTTCATTATAATTTGAAAGTAAAAAAATTGGTCTAAAGAGTTTAGACAGTACTTCCCTCGCTGTCGGAAACTTGA